AACAAATTACGTCATGCATACTAGCCAGTACACTCGTGCAGTTTTTGAAGGCAGTCTGATTTGTAGATTTAAGCTGTCAATATCGTCTGTCTCAGCGCAGGCTGCCTCCCTCGTGTTGAAACAAGAGCCGTGTGAGAGCGGTACTATCTGCCATAGGACTACTGGAACTACCTAACAAATCAAGTGAAGACATTAACGTAGTAACATGCGCCAGGTCACTGGGTCTAAACTCTAGGGTCAGAGTTAGGTGTAGGGCTTGGTTACCATCCGATCCCTCTTGTAGAATTGTTGCCTGCTTAAAACACCCAAATGTATTGTTTTAATAGAAAAGTTTCAAAATGTGAGACTTTATCTTCAAGACCCTGAAAATTTGTCTATGTAGTACGTGGCTAGAACAAAATCACAGGTTACAAGTGAGATGGTGGATTCAGAGGTCTATTTCATCATAGGTGGTAACCCTAACCCTGCAGGAACCGAACTTTACTTCTGAAGAAAGCCCAAACACGTGTGAGTCAGAATGACTCTTTATTCTATGATTAAAGTGACTTAGGAGCACAACTAAAAACTACTAAAGTGGCACAGATTTACTGTAGTGTTGGGGTTGTCGGTGATGCCAGCTTTAAGGTCAGAGGGTGTGGAGCCTTAAAATCAACTAAAGAGGGTGTTTGTAAGTCATTTGGTTTTAATTGGCTAACACCAACTAGTAAGACTTGATGCATGCTCAATCATCCAGGTAAGGAAATCCTGAAAAAGCTGATTTTGTTCGTCTGGATGTAGAGTTTTCAGTGGGAGAAACATTTCGTCAATTATAATCAGTACATTTGCATAATGACAACTGATCAACACTGACCAATGAAGAAACTGACCTCACAGCCGTTTGTTCCTTCAGTGGGCTGGTTTCAGTCATTGAGCAAATGTACTGTTTATAAGATTGGGGAAACCTGCAGTCAGCTGAGACTGAAGAAGTCACTTGACGAAACGTTTCTCCCACTGAAAACTCTACATCCACGTGAACAGAATCAACCTTTTCGGGACTAACTAGTACAGTACTGATCAGTCCCATTTTAACACTTCTATGATCAAGATTGGGCTTTTTTTCGTCCTTTTTTTTCTTAAAACCATGAAAAAACATGGTTAAAATGGCAGACTGCGGTAACTGCGGTAACTGCCTGGCAAGCTAACAGGTTTATAGATGACCCTCAACTCTCAGCCTGGCCTAATGCAGTCTGAAAGGAGATAGAGTCCTGCTGTGTAAGCTATTACATTATAAAGACTAATGTTTGTACCTTTTTCAATAAATTAATTTATGAACTGCTCATACTTATATATCTATACATACATACCGTGGGTGGGCAATTAATAAGCTGAACTTAGTTCTGTTCAATATTATTTTTATCTCTTTATAAACTGCTACTGTTAAGAGTAGATGTTGTAATTAGGCAATGAAAATGTGAAGTAGGTAAAAAAAAAGCAGTTTATCTTTTAAAACACATTCCCAAAAACAGAGTGAACAAAATCTCTTTTTGCTAAATTTCAAACTACTATTGCCAGTTTTCTTGTAGTTTAATTACTTTATCTGCAGTTTTTCCTTTTTTTTTCTTACTCAGTGGCAGAAATCCAGTTTTTTTTGTCATGAGTGATTTAAGAGCTCGGGAATGTCCTTACAAAACTGCTCTCAGGTCCCATACTCTTTTAACGCTTTGCCCAAGAGGAGCCACGTGACAGCTGTGTGCTAGTCCGCGTTACCATGTTCAGTCTGAAGCGCCTCCAAAAGTGAAACAAACTATCTGTGATTCAGTCCTTTCAACCTGATGAAGTTAACAACATGGTAAATTTTTAGGACTGACTTACACAACACCTCCTGACTTTCGATACAATCCAAAAATACCAATTTCAGTCACTTCAATTCAGTTCAGTCACTTGAAGGTATTATTTCCAGAAGTATTCTGGAAAAATACCCAACAATCAAACACCCCACAGAGCCCCACAGGAGAGGGGCCTGATGGCTGAAGGCTCTGCCTCCCATTCTACTTTTAGAAACTCTAACAACTACAAGTAACCCTGCAGTCTGACAGCAAAGTGCTTTATTAGGACAACATATATAGCAGTACTATCAGATCTTTAAGATAAGTTTGGGCCTGCCCCTTTATGTGAGGAGAAGGATTATAAATTTGATTGTGGCTCTAACAGGGAGCCAATGAAGAGAGGCCAATATGGGACAAATATCATCTCTTTCTTGGCGTTGTTAGTACCCTCTATTTTGGATTAAATTTAGGTTTTTTAGGGAATCTTTAGAACAACCTGATAATAATAAGAGTAGTTTCCAATGGCTTTTAATTTTAGAGAAACTGTGCAGATAAAAGAAAGTAGCTCTTCATATTTGGTCATCTTGGTTAAAAATGACTCCAAGATTTCTTACAGTGTTGGTGGAGGCCAAGGTATGCCATTCAGAGGCAAGTGTCTGGTTCGACGCAGTTTCTCTGATTTTTAAGGCACCAAGTACAGCTGTAGTTTTAAAAACTATGTCATCTGGGTTCAATGATAGATATAACTAGGTATCATTTAAATACCAATAAAAATAAATCTGAAAATTGAAAAGTAGATCATAAAACCTGACAGTTTGTCCCGGGATTTCAAGCATAAGGTTACTCAGCAGTCAGCTCTCCACAAACTAAGCACGCAGCACTACCTTTGACATCAGTAAATAAATACGTATTAGTCCAGTTTAAACAAAACAAAACAAAACAACAACTCTACATTGAAAACAAAAGAAAACAAAATTGTACTGTGACTTCACAAAATCACAAAAAAACAAAACCGTGATCTATTCTCTGATGACGAGTTTTGGTGGCTGAAATGGGAAACTGCATAATGTATACTTATTTATGCTCGAATCCTAATTTCCCATTGACATCACGCAGGACAACCAAAGTGCCAGATGTGGCCCAGGGACCGTACGATTCACAGGTCTGATACAGACCCACAAATAAGCAGCGACTGAAGGTGGCAGCCTTTGAGCATCCAAAGGGAAGAAACACAAACAAACACGGTGATGTCCATGACTTCTAGACTTCTGGCAGCAAATCACTTTTTATCAGTCTTAAAACAGACCTTATTTTTTTCAGCATGTTGGCTGAACCTCTAAAAATGGGAGATAATATATAAAAATGGCTGCAATTCCTAAACAGTTAATGCAATAACTTTGTCAAACCCCTTAAATTAAAGCTGAAAGTCTACAGATCGATCAAATGTTAATGCAGAAGTGAAACCCACAAGCACTGTGGCAGGGATTTAGCTATTAGCCAATCAGAAGAAAGTGTGCTTTCAGAAAGGGGGTGGCTTAAAGAGGGAGGAACTAAAATGGCTTATAAATTGCATGAGCCAGGTGTCCATCCAATTTATAAGCAACAGTTTAAGGTAAAAACGGATCCTTTTGAACTATGAATCATGCAAACCTACTCGAGAGGACTCCCTGGATAAAATATTAAGAGCTGGAGTTGAATAAGAAAGGTTCAGATAAGAAAATTAAAAGTGAGAAACCCCTTTTATTCATTTATCTGTGGAATCCAAACAACTATTATTTCAAAAATTACAATCAAGTGGCAAATTTAATACTGCAAAACACTGTGTTGGAATCTAAAAAGCTCACGTGGCTTTCCACTGAGCGTTGGGCAGCTTATAGGCTTGTGTTTCTCTTGTTTCCGTGTCTGTTATAAGACAAGGTGTTCTCATCACTTAAAACAGCCCTGTATCACTCTGCCTGTATGTTTAGGCTATTGCTTAAAGCTCTACAACTCCTGCACAGTACTGCAGGTAGACATGAGCTGTCTCCAGGGGAAAAAGTGCATGACTAAGGGGACGTAGGGGGCCAAGTTGGTATCCAGCGGTGTCTCTTTAGTGCTGCCATTTCTGATCGACTGTGAAGCTTTTATCGCTCCCCTTGAGTCAGTCTAAATAGAGGTGTTTTTATTTTTAAAAAAGGCTTTTTGCTCACCTTTAGTATAAAGTACAGAAGGCACTGCAGGGAAAAGAAAAGCTGCAGTGGAATTCAGTCCTAGACTGATGGGGTGGCACAGGTATCTGCAAAGATGGGAAATTAACCACTCGACAATCTGGGCACTAATAGATGTCAAATTGTAAGTGTGTGCGTGTGTCTCAAGAACAGGAATCAGCCAGGTTGTTGCACGCTGATCTCTGGATGTTAAAGGCTAATGGGGATTGATGGCTTGCCTGTTAAAACCTGAACGCTTTACTCCTTCCTGTGTTGAGTGTTCTAGAATAATGTTTTTGAAAAAAGCCCCGAGCTCAGTGTCACCCCTTTAATATGAACATCTACATGTTTTCAGAGGCAACACCCAGGTCACGGGCTTTTCTTAGACTCTGCTAGTCTGGCATTTTTTTAAAGCTCTTCATATTGCACACAGTGTAATTAGTTCTTTGTAATTAGTGCAATTTATTGCTTTGCGTATCCCTTTGAGACACGAGTACTTGAACACAGAGGTCTTAATTTGCAATATTACACACTGTGTAATTGGGAATTTGTTTCCTCACATCCCTCTGAGATTCACAGACATGTGCACATATAACCAGAGCGGACGGGGGAACGGCAGGTTGTGTTTCAGGGACGAGCTGGAGCATCTAGGGAGCTTGTGCCTTTCATGAAATTAGACCTCGGTCAACTTTATTAAAAGAAAAAAAAACAACAACACAAAAAAACAAAACAGCCAATCAGGAGCTCGTCAGTTGGTGCTGTACGCTGGTCCTCAAAGCCAGTGGAGATCAGCCAAGTTTTACTTACTGTAATATCTCCTGTAGCTTCATGGCGCAAAGTGCAGAAATAGTAATAAGAAGTAAGAATAATAATGCCTAGCCCCATATGGAATGAGCTATGGTGCCTTATTGGAGGTGGTGATATTAAACAGCATTATATGGGCAGGTGACAAGAAGGCACTAGCCAATTTCCCTAGATATGAAAAGAAGAAGATTGCATGTGGGATTACCCTGTGTGCGGTCAGGGGGGAGGCAGCCACCACCGCTAGCGTCGACGTCGCCTCTCTCTCCCACTGATTGTTTGCCTTTGAGCCACCGCTTGTCCTCTTCCTCTGCTTCTCCCACTCTCTGTTTGTCTTTGGGAGGCTCAGCCTCCTTCTCCTCCATCTCCCCCTCTTTGCTCTGTTTGCCTTTGCGTGATTTCTGAGGCCGGGCTTTTCCCCAGCTGAGCTCTGGCTCACTGTCGGAGCTGGAGAGAACGACACAAGCCTGGTCCCTCTGGGTTGCAGGGGGTAGCTGAGGCCTGGGTGGCTCTGAGCCAGCAGGGAGAGACAGAAAGAGAGAGAGATGAAGATTACTCTATTGGCTGAGCTGCACAGTGTAATCAGACTTTGAAGAGTTTCATTCCCGAGCAAGATATCCATCATCTGAAGAGTGTGACAGTGTGACAAAATGACTGCTGACATGAAAGTAAAACTCAATATGGCTCATTAGTGATGTTATTTGCCATCATAAGTTCTTCACTGACAAGTTTAGCGGGTGTGATGGTGTAAATGAGTCGACATAAGCAGGGGCGCAGAAGAATGTGTATATTTTCAAGCCTTTATTGTGGACCTATTATGCTCATTTCGAGCTCCTTATTTTTATTCTTGGACTTTCTTATCTTTGCATGATTCACATTTCAAAGTGATCCTTATTTATTGTTTACCGGGCCTCAGTGCAGCACCTCATTATATCCACTGTCTGAAACAAGCCATTTAAGCTTCTTCCTCAATACTTTTTTTTTTGCACAGAAACCCAATGGTCTGACTGATAACAGCTGACAAAAGCTGAAAAATAGTAAGTGTCATGATGTTAAGCAGACAGGTGTAATTTATTCACTTTCTTTTCCTTGGTTTCCCCCTAATAATAAACAGACAGTAATAATATAGCAGAAAAGGAATACAATTAAAAGCAATTATTTATTTGGCAGCAAATCACAACAACAGTTGCCTCAAGGTGGTTTCTATTGTATGGTAAAGACAATAACACCAGAGAAAACCCCAACAATCAGACAGTCTCCTATCAGGAAGTATTCGGAGACAGTGGGAAGGAAGAACTCCCTTTCAACAGGAAGATTCGGGCTCAGAGAGAGACAGCCATCTGCAAATCTGATGATACAGACATGAAAATACACAGAAGAAAAAACTGAATATTTGGACCTCCCTGACTTTTATTCTTTTGCCCTCATGAGATTAAAGTGAAATCCAAAGTAATCCTTTTTTATCTTAGAATGGGAATGGTGCAGCGTCTTAGTTCATCCTCTGTAGGGAGGAAGAACAGCAGCTGGGCGGGGCTTGTGTGCTCACAGCTGGACCTGTGTACTCGAAATGACCACAAAAGGCATGTCTGCTATTAGTGACATAATACTACTAATTAATAATAATACATGTGTATCATTATCACTGCACTAGTACATACATATACATTTTCTTTCCCCTCTTGCGTAGCTGTAACAAGTGAATTAAATAAAGTCGATGTCTATAAATCCAAGAGTAGGGAGAGAAAAAAAAACGCACAATAAGCCCCCTTTAAGTAGTAGATATTTAATCAAGGTGATGAATTTTAAGTGCACATAAGCAAATATATTCAAGTGTATGTCTTATTTGTATCTTCCTATTCTGAGTAGTTGCTTGATATACAATGACCATTTACAGGAAGTAAGCACTATCTGGGATACTTGAAGTCTTTGTTGCTCTGCAGCCCATCAGCTGTGATGCAGGAACTTACAGATGAACACCTGCCAGCCTCCTTTCACCAGCTACTGGATCCAAACAGCCAATATCGTTTTGCTGAGAGAGCAAATTACGTTCGTGTCACATTGTTTTGTTAATTGCTTGCCTGCATCATGTGCAATCAAACCTAAACAAAATAATTGTCAGCGATTACTGCATCTGTGGCGCGCACCAGCCGGGGTGCAGTGAGCAGTGTTCAAACAGCTGATAATGGCTGAATGCCAACGGCAGATCTCGCTTTAAAGAGTCAGCTTGAAGTCCGCCTATCAAACTTGTTTTGCAGCTCCGCTCTTAAACCATTCAAGCGATTTCCATTCATGCAGAATGTTGTAATTCTGTGAAGGTCAAGCAGAAATCTGAGCCACAAAAATGTTAATGAATGCAGGGATTATGTCATCGTCATTCGCAGACTTCACGTTATTTTAAATGGTACTTTCTGTGCTGCTGTTTATTAGGAAAGTAGAATTAACAGATGGATTAGCTGCTTAAAGAAAAGACCGTTATTATTTTTAGTCAAATGTAAATGTCACGGTCAGAACAGAACTTCTTAAAAAAAAAGTGTCATGCAATTTCTTACTTTTCTTAGTTAAACTTTAATCACATCTCTTCACAATATTTGTCAAACTTGAGGTGCGAAATGTAAGAAGACACTAAGTTGTGAGTCTTGAGGATGCAGAGGGCTAATTAGTGATCTTGCGTCTCTGTGGCTTGTTTCTTCAAAAGGCCATCCCATAGTCGGTTTCCTCAAATGCCATCTGAGTCTCTGGGCTCCTGGCCCCAGCGCTGCCCCTCTTCACTAACAAGCCGAGTAAGACCGCAGAGAGACGGCTCAATTTCTGTTAAGCTGTCCCTGCCGAAGAAGATGTTAACGGGAAAATCCTGCAGGGCTGTGCCTCCACTTTACCAGTCAATCCCCTTTATTCTCCCCGCCCATCAGGAGCCCATTATGTCTGTAGTAGTTTGATAAGGTTCCAACATCGAGTCTCAAATCTAAAATGCCATGCAAAAGGATTCCAAAAGCATGTGTTCTGGCATGTGAGCTAACAGATGTAGTTAAATAAAAACAGGAAATGCTTTGAATTCCTTCAGTTGGCAGGGCTCGGAAAAAACTGCAGCCAGTCACAGAAGACCCATCAAACAAAAAGAAAGTAGCTGGTTCACATGCTGTACAATATCAGGCAGTTAAAGACTCAGCTGGACTTTGTTGTTAAATTCTGTAATTTGATATAAAAATAAATAAAAAAATCAGCACATGGTTTGAGTGCTAGCTGAGAGGTACAGAGAGCCAGGAGATAACCAAATTGCCCTCTCCCTGTGTACATCTCTCACAGTAGGTGCTGAGAGACAAATTGCTGGTCTACCAGTGAAAGAGCTGAAGGACTGAACCATGCCCACGCTCTAGGTCTAAAAAAAAAAGCTGCAAGCACAGGAAGTCTACTAATTCACCTTGAAAATAGTTCAACAGAAGCTGCCTGGTTGTTTCCTGGTGCCAAAACAGCTATAGGAGACGATACAGACGAACCCACCGGAGACATAAACCCTGTCACAAGAAGGAGGTAATAATCCCTGACAGTTTGATTAAAACCAGGACTGGATTACTGACGATACAGCACTACAGCGATTCAATTTGTATGCAATTAATATGACATGTTATTGTTTAGCACCTGGAATTAGGTAAATTCCCATCTCTGTCAGACAGAACAGAACATTTAATGGATTAAAAAAGCCAAATGCCAACTTCAACATCACCAAAACATACATAAACATAAAAAACACAAACGTTAGGGGCTAATCTAACTGCTTTTAAATCAAATAAATTCAAATAAATGTAATTTTATTCATACAGCACCAAATTACAACAACAGTCACCTTAAAGAAATTAATATTTTAAGGTAAAAACCCTACAATACTACAGAGAAAAACCCAGCAATCACACAACCCCCTATTAGCAAGCATTTGGCAACAGTGGGAAGGAAAAACTCCCTTTTAACAGGAAGAATGGGCGCTGCCATCAGCGGTGATTGGCTGGAGGAGAGGAAGACAAAGCAAAACTGACTAAGCTTTTATCATAAGCTACCTGGCACCACAGGCTTAAATGGTTGGTGTCTATAGGACTATTACATGTGTTGGAAAGAGTGATGTATCCGTCTTCCTCACCAGGGTCTTGTCAATTTGTAAGACTAGGTTTTGTTTTAGCTGCAAGCTAAACAGGCAAATATATAATTTTCTCACATATTTAGCCTGTCAACAATTGAGCTGGGGGTGTTAATTACCGAACACTTGCTAGCTAGAGCTCAAAAGGGGCTAAATGAAAAAGTACTCTTTTAGCAAAAAACGCAGGCTTTAAACTAGAGCAACTAAAAATGGGCTCCATGTATGAATATGTAGAATACTGAAAGTAGAAGCTTTCTGCTATTTCTTTGTATTCTATTGTAGTCAAAGTACTACTAACCAATCAAATTTGAGCACCTGAGTTTCGCACAAGACTCCATGTGGACAGGAAAAGATGGACTCCAAAATTTGATGAAACAATGGGTTAACATTAGACAAAATTTTAGCTTTTAATTACCTTGTCTTTTTAAAATTTAGCTGGATTTGTAAGAAGTTGGAGGGAACTGGAAGTCTGGATATCCACTCCTTACAGGGAGACCTCCACAGGGGCCACTGAGCCTGGTTCTGCTGGAGGTTTCTTCTTGTTAAAAGACAGTTTTTCCTTCCCACTGTTGCCAAGTGCTTGCTCAGAGTGTGTTGTTTGATTGTTGGGGTTCTCTGTATTACTTAAGGGGTCTTTTCCTCACAATATAACAGGCCTGTGGTTGTGATTTGGTGGTATATAAATAAGACTGAATTGAATTGATTTGTTTTAAGTTACAGGCACAGCACACCTAAGAAGTACAGCCGGTACAGCTCATAATCACTATGTGCTGCCCTTTGGCAAGCTTTTGGAAGTTAGTCATTCATAAAGTAGGCTTCTAGGAAGGGAGGGCTTAAAGAGAGAGCAGCTGAAACGACTTTTAAAACAGAAGAACAAAGAAGTTGCACTGAGTTGATATAAAGTTGATATAAAAAGGGATTCTTTTAAACTGTCAATTATGCAAAACGAGTCTAGATGAGCCCGGGAATGAGAATCTAGAGCTGAAAATCTACCATTAAATGTACCCTTTAAAATCTATAGTGACACTGATTATTTTGGTTGTGAAACTTAAAAGTGACAAACTTTCCCATTTTCAGCAGTAAATCTGCCACTGCAGCGTGATGTGCTAGAATATAAGAATTGACAGATGTAACCACAACAGCTAAAGAAACACACGGCTCTGCAAAGGGTGGTAGCCAGGTTTTAAGCTCCCGTTTCTCCTGCTTCCCACATCTAGCATCAATACTTTCCACTGAACAATAGAAAAAACCCTTGAAATCTTATTCCTTCTTACTTCATGCATCTCCTTCTGTTACTTTCCGCTACATTTTATTCTGGTCCAAACGCCTCACGGTAAAACAGACCAATATCCCTTCTGTTTGCTCGCTGCTCTTCCTCTACAGCTGCTGGCTTGTTGTATTTTTGCCATTCTGTGAAAATACAGAGCGGAAGCCAAATGCCTCGGATACATCTTTGCCTTTACTTTAAATACAAAGCCCTGACGTCCTTGTATCATGTGTCAGTATTCTGTGATTCATAGCGTCCTGGCTTTCTTTATAGTCATTGTGAAAAATTGTTGCTCTTGAAGAGATAGCATTTCTCATGTCACACTACAGGCTTCAGCCTGATTATTTTCTTACATTTCCACGAGCTGTGGATTGCAGTGCCAAGTTGAGAGATATCTTCATAAATACAGTTGTTATTTTTCCGCGCAGTCTGTCATTTACAAATTTAGCAGGTTGTTAAATTCCCTGTCTAGCAAGCTGACACGGCCTGCTGCTGTGAATGCAGAGCGGCGCTTGTGACAAAGAAGAGAGTGTGATTGCTGAATAGTTATCAAGCATCTGCTGCAGCTGAGCATGAAATGGGGGCTGAATTTTGTTAAAAAAGAAAAATGTGTGGGTGGGTGTTTTTATGCTGCTCAAAAGCTGAGGTACTGCTTGTTTGTTCTGTGTCTGTTTTAAGTGCACCGGCTTCACTTCCAGTGGACCGAGCCGCAAACAGACCTTCAGCCAATATTTACTGTGTGCTTACAGTCACTATAGAGCTTATATTATAATACAGAGACTTCAGAGTCATTAATGCAGTGTCAACCTTTTTCTTTAAACACACGCAGGGCTATAGTGTTAGGACTATATCGATGTCAACATTTTACAGAGTCCTAAAGGATGCTAAACTAGTTAGGTAACCTTAGATTTATGTAGAACGTAATCTACGGGAAGCGTGTTTCTAAAGTTTATCAGTCAGCCAAATGTTATCACCCATAATAGACTGTAGGTAAAAGATGGACAACAATGTTGCCATTTGTTTGAAAACTTCGACTTTGGTATTTTGGCTTTCATTCTCTTGGAGCAAGGACAGCGTGTAGCAGGAATATGTTTGAAAACAGGGGACTGTGTAGCCACGCCCCAACTCATACTCACCTTTATTATCTATTTTACCTGCAGTGGGTCCATAATTCACAAAATACAGCAAAAAATAAAACAAAACCTGTGGAATGATTTGACTGAGGTCATAAAGCAGGTGAGAAGTAGCATCATTTTGCCATAGCCTTCCATACAATCAGATTTCATTTTGTAACCAGAGGAGTCGCCCCCTGCTGGCCATTAGAAAGTATGGTGAGCTCTGGCCTTTTTCAGAGGCTGTGTCTTATCATAAACAATCTATGGTGTCCTCCTGGGACTTTCTTTGTCCGCCATGGTTCCAAAATGTAAAACCTGGAAAAGGCATAGATTGAATAAATGCGACACATCGTATTTAACAAATCCTGTTAACCCTGTAACGCCAAGAGTATCTCAATAAACACTGCAGTTTCAAAGATGTTAATTTTTTTGCAATTATTTTACGGTTTAGGCATTACAAGGTTAACGGTACTTTTAAACTTAGTGAAACATCTAGCTTAGCTGTTCTCAAAGCCAACCGACTCCAGCTCCATATTTAGCTCACGAACACGAGGCTGACATCAATCATCACCTGTCTTTTGGTAAAAGCGCCAACAAGTGTGTCCCCCCCACCTCTTTTCTTCTTCCCCAAATTCTCAAATGTTTTCAGAGTGAAGGTGAATAAAAGCAAACACCCTCACTGGAGCAAAAAGGCTTTTCATGGTAGATGTGCTCTTTATAATTACTGTTCTCCAACTAATAATTTAGATTTCATCATCAAGCCTGAAAGGCTTTATTTGACAGTATTGTACTCTGCTACCTCATCGAGCTGGCAGTCTGGAAGGCCAGAGGTTATGCTCATGTGGAATTACTTTTTTATGAGTCGTCTGGATACATAACTACTCTGACACTGAGATTAAACTGTGTCATTCATCAGTGTGCATTTTGCTCTGTTTTAAACATTTTAATAATTTTCTGAAGTACCATAGTTAAAAACATGAATTGATTAAAATTGACCTGCTGTGCTCATTTTTAACTTCTCAGTTTTATTCTTGGACTACAGTAGCTTTTCATGATTGATACATCAAAATAATCTTTTTTCATTGTGCTGGTCTTTGTTGATACTCTGTGTTGGTTCGCCTTAAACCTGCTCTTTTTGACTCGCTGCTCTTGGCTGTGTGCCTGCAACGACCATATTAGGGATGTCCACCCTCTTGGGCATCATATAGATCCAAGAGTAGAAAAAAAGTGTATAACTGGGATTACTTTGCACAGAGTCTGACCTCATTATTTAACAGGATATATGTGGCATCAAATAAGGAGAAGAGTAATACGCCTCCTCTAAGTGCATCAAATAAAGTGTGTGATCAGGCAGTGCAGTCTGTCTTTATAAAGCAATCGGTAAATGCTACCTTAACCTGCCGTAAACTAGGTTTTTTTTGACTAATGACTTATCTTTAGCTCATGCTCATATAAGGCTTTATTCAGCCAGTGGAGTACTAAAAGTATTAAACTCATGTTACCTAAACATTACAGCTGTGAACTACATTCAAGTTTGGGGATTTTATTTTTTTTTAAATCATCTCTCAAACTGATTTGATGCATCTCAGACATCTAAAGAGCATGGACCTGCAGTCTGCCAGGTCATAACGACTTCCCTCCCCTCTTCTTTGCAAGATACAATCATAGGCTGTCAGAGATATCAGCTCGAGCCAGCTCAACTTTTCCCAACTTTGTGTGAGACGTTTGCAGCAATAGTAGGCGCCTGTTCGCTCTCTCTCTCAGCTTGACAGGTGAGAATTATACTGTGTCCTTGTCATCTGCAGAGAGGGAGAGGAGAGGGAGACAGACAATATTCTCTGAGCAGTGCTATTTCAGACTCTGGGAAGTCTGCCTCCATCTTTTGCTATCTCGCATCTCCATCTGGTGAAATCTGTAATGCTGTTCAAAAGTATTATGTCAACAGACTGCCACGATTGATATTGACAGGAAGGAAAATAAAGCAATGAATGGATTTCAGCTTCAGGTGCTTCATTTTAGACATGAGATGATGGAAGCGCGTGCGTTTCCTTAATAAAATTCAGTTTGATTTGCAATCAGGTTTGTGAATTTAATTAAAAACAAAAATAAACAACAGCAAAATAAAGAGAAAGATGGAGAAGAAGAAGAAGAGGGCCACACAGGCAGACGCAAACAGCAGGTTGGGGGTGGGATTGGTGAGAGGAGGGGGGGGATCGGATAATTGGATATTATTTGTTCCTTACTCTTACCTGAGCTGACAGCAGAGGTAGAGCGCGGGCACTCACACATCTCGCAGTACGGCAACAGGCTGCTGTTGGAGTAGGTGCAGGCCCCGCAATTCCACACGGATGCAGGATCAGGCTCAGACGGCTGAGACGTTAGGGAGACCGCGCTGGCAGGTCTGCCTGCGCTGATCCCCCCCGCAGACGACCTCCGCTTCCCCCCAAATCGAGACGTGGGGCTCCGGTTGGGCTGCGGTGTTCGCAGCCTTTTCAGCTGGGGCGAGAAATCCCGATCGGGCGTTTTGGAGGTTTGGGAGCATGACTCCTCGTTCCCCTCCTCGCTGTTTTCTAAGTATACCCGGATGCCAGCTGGCGTGGCAGCCGTCTCTGAGGAGATGGAGGGACTTTCTTCATCTTCTGTTCTCTTCCTCTTCGTCTTGCCAGCTTGCGGGGAGAAGAAGGAACGGATGTCGTGCTGCTTTTCTTTCTCAAACTAAAGCAAAAAATATAAAATAAATAATGAATAAAAATACAAGCTCAAGTCGGTTTTTGTCTCTGTAGCACCCAATTTTCAATCCACCTGTAAAGTGACAAAGCATCCCTGAATCAAATCCTCCTTTTGTTTTCACCATCAAAGGCAGTCATTTGCATACAGCAACACCATGGTAACGCACGCAACGATGATCAGAAACCCCATTTAATTCTTTACACATCAGTAATGTAAAAATACAATGCTACAAATACAAAATGTTCTAATGTTGATCACAAATTTTGTGCAGCTCTTTCAGTTTTTCATAATTCATAAATCCATCACACTATAAAGTGTCTTCATTTTTCGTCTCGAGTCATCACAGTCATTAAATAATGATCCTAACAGTACCATGTGTCTCTTCTTAAAAAAAACAAGCGTTACACATTTTACCAATTTGGCTGCGACATTAAAACCACCGACAAGTGAAATTGAAACATTCTAAGATGTGACACAACACCCTGTTTCCACCAACTGGAGCAGATTTTAGTCGCCAACAGTCAGAGAGGAGTGCAGAGCTAACAGCTAAGGACATAATTGCTGGTAATGAGCGGACAACCTTACAAATGAACAACAAAGAGCAGCAAATAGCTGCTCATAATGTGATTTTTCCAGAGACTGTTCCTCCGAATGTTTCACAATAAAAGAAGAAAAAGAAGAGGAAGGGTTTCTGATGTGAAACTGAGACAGAAAGTGTGAGCGGCAGATAACAAAAGAACCTCCTCTCTGGACTTACTGGTTCATGTTTGCAAGATATTCCAGTATGAAATGGCCTTAAATGGTAAACTTGTTCAGCCTCTGACTGAAAAATTAAATGAATTTGAACTTTTTTAGGGATACAACCTTTACACCCCACACACTACTTGACTAGGCGTGAGCGTAGCTGGAGCTGGATTTGTTGCAGCGGGATTCCCCGGTGGCCGTGGCCTATTTCAGAAGGATTACGGACCTTGTCGCACTGCAAACACTTTTCAGGACCTTGACAAAGAGTTCAAGGTGCTGACTTGGCCTAGATCTGAATGTGGTGGATGTCTCTGTGAGGATGTCCCCATCTCGCAACATGCAGGACTTTAAGGATCTGCTGCTTAATGTCTGGGCTCCAGAGGACAAAGGTCAAAGGTCTCCAGGAGTCTGCACTTTAACAGCTCAGAGTTTGTGTGGCAGTGAAAGCCTACACAATATTCAAAGTGTGGTTTCAATGTTGTGGCTGATCAGTAGTGTGAAACGTTTCCACGTCTGTGTGCATGCTTTTGTTTTCTTTTACATTCGTACAATAATCACAGTAAACATGAAAATCTGCGCCCAGGCCGCATTCGTCCAATTCTTCTGACTACACACAAAGTTGAACAGCTTTCTACACTCAGTTTCAAATGACAATGCCGCAACAAGAACTCCTTATGCAGCGATTTAGTTATCGCCACCCGGACCACAGCTCTCGAGCTCCCAAGGTCCTCATGCAGATTTATTTATGATGGCAACGAGAAAAAGCAACTTTCTTTTCTCATATATCACATTATGCTTTGCTATGGAGCTACAGAGCCAGTGGTGGCATAGAGAAATGAGGAACAAACCAAACAGTAAGTGTGATGACTTTATATGAAATTAGACTCATTTATTATGAAAGCTCCTGTGGCTTTATACTCGATGGCTCGGCATGTCAGAGCTAATTTAAAGAGAGAAAGAAATAGATGTCTGTTGAAGATTTCCTGCTGACTCACATGAGTAAAGAAGACGTCGGTTTTGGCATTTCCTGTGCTTCCCTCCAGCGGCAGCACCATCTCACTTGGCGTCCACGCGTTGGCAAAGTTGAGGAACTCCCATTTGTCCTTGTCGCCCTCGTCGGCCTTCAGATATTCCTTTCTTCCATTTAGAGTGCTGCCAGTCACCTTTTCCTGAAACACAAGGGACCTTATGTTGTACCTTCACTTCACACTTAGGTCCACAAATTTATGAACAGTGACACATTTTTTTGTTGTTTTTTTTGTTTTTTTTACAGTTTTGCTTCTTTACACCACAAGAATACATTTTAAACTAGAAAAATTTGCATTTCCTGCGAAAATGCAGTGTGGATGCTTAAAGCTGAAGCTGTATGCAAAAAGTAGCTGAAAAAGCTGAAAAGTTGCAGAAATTGTAAAAACGTTTTATTTAAAATGTATTCTTGTGTAAAGAAGCAAAACTGTAAAAAAAACAAAAAAAACAACAAAAAAATGTGTCACTGTTCATAAATTTGTGGACCTAAGTGTGAAGTGAAGGTACAACATAAGGTCCCTTGTGTTTCAGGAAAAGGTGACTGGCAGCACTCTAAATGGAAGAAAGGAATATCTGAAGGCCGACGAGGGCGACAAGGACAAATGGGAGTTCCTCAACTTTGCCAACGCGTGGACGCCAAGTGAGATGGTGCTGCCGCTGGAGGGAAGCACAGGAAATGCCAAAACCGACGTCTTCTTTACTCATGTGAGTCAGCAGGAAATCTTCAACAGACATCTATTTCTTTCTCTCTTTAAATTAGCTCTGACATGCCGAGCCATCGAGTATAAAGCCACAGGAGCTTTCATAATAAATGAGTCTAATTTCATATAAAGTCATCACACTTACTGTTTGGTTTGTTCCTCATTTCTCTATGCCACCACTGGCTCTGTAGCTCCATAGCAAAGCATAATGTGATATATGAGAAAAGAAAGTTGCTTTTTCTCGTTGCCATCATAAATAAATCTGCATGAGGACCTTGGGAGCTCGAGAGCTGTGGTCCGGGTGGCGATAACTAAATCGCTGCATAAGGAGTTCTTGTTGCGGCATTGTCATTTGAAACTGAGTGTAGAAAGCTGTTCAACTTTGTGTGTAGTCAGAAGAATTGGACGAATGCGGCCTGGGCGCAGATTTTCATGTTTACTGTGATTATTGTACGAATGTAAAAGAAAACAAAAGCATGCACACAGACGTGGAAACGTTTCACACTACTGATCAGCCACAACATTGAAACCACACTTTGAATATTGTGTAGGCTTTCACTGCCACACAAACTCTGAGCTGTTAAAGTGCAGACTCCTGGAGACCTTTGACCTTTGTCCTCTGGAGCCCAGACATTAAGCAGCAGATCCTTAAAGTCCTGCATGTTGCGAGATGGGGACATCCTCACAGAGACATCCACCACATTCAGATCTAGGCCAAGTCAGCACCTTGAACTCTTTGTCAAGGTCCTGAAAAGTGTTTGCAGTGCGACAAGGTCCGTAATCCTTCTGAAATAGGCCACGGCCACCGGGGAATCCCGCTGCAACAAATCCAGCTCCAGCTACGCTCACGCCTAGTCAAGTAGTGTGTGGGGTGTAAAGGTTGTATCCCTAAAAAAGTTCAAATTCATTTAATTTTTCAGTCAGAGGCTGAACAAGTTTACCATTTAAGGCCATTTCATACTGGAATATCTTGCAAACATGAACCAGTAAGTCCAGAGAGGAGGTTCTTTTGTTATCTGCCGCTCACACTTTCTGTCTCAGTTTCACATCAGAAACCCTTCCTCTTCTTTTTCTTCTTTTATTGTGAAACATTCGGAGGAACAGTCTCTGGAAAAATCACATTATGAGCAGCTATTTGCTGCTCTTTGTTGTTCATTTGTAAGGTTGTCCGCTCATTACCAGCAATTATGTCCTTAGCTGTTAGCTCTGCACTCCTCTCTGACTGTTGGCGACTAAAATCTGCTCCAGTTGGTGGAAACAGGGTGTTGTGTCACATCTTAGAATGTTTCAATTTCACTTGTCGGTGGTTTTAATGTCGCAGCCAAATTGGTAAAATGTGTAACGCTTGTTTTTTTTAAGAAGAGACACATGGTACTGTTAGGATCATTATTTAATGACTGTGATGACTCGAGACGAAAAATGAAGACACTTTATAGTGTGATGGATTTATGAATTATGAAAAACTGAAAGAGCTGCACAAAATTTGTGATCAACATTAGAACATTTTGTATTTGTAGCATTGTATTTTTACATTACTGATGTGTAAAGAATTAAATGGGGTTTCTGATCATCGTTGCGTGCGTTACCATGGTGTTGCTGTATGCAAATGACTGCCTTTGATGGTGAAAACAAAAGGAGGATTTGATTCAGGGATGCTTTGTCACTTTACAGGTGGATTGAAAATTGGGTGCTACAGAGACAAAAACCGACTTGAGCTTGTATTTTTATTCATTATTTATTTTATATTTTTTGCTTTAGTTTGAGAAAGAAAAGCAGCACGACATCCGTTCCTTCTTCTCCCCGCAAGCTGGCAAGACGAAGAGGAAGAGAACAGAAGATGAAGAAAGTCCCTCCATCTCCTCAGAGACGGCTGCCACGCCAGCTGGCATCCGGGTATACTTAGAAAACAGCGAGGAGGGGAACGAGGAGTCATGCTCCCAAACCTCCAAAACGCCCGATCGGGATTTCTCGCCCCAGCTGAAAAGGCTGCGAACACCGCAGCCCAACCGGAGCCCCACGTCTCGATTTGGGGGGAAGCGGAGGTCGTCTGCGGGGGGGATCAGCGCAGGCAGACCTGCCAGCGCGGTCTCCCTAACGTCTCAGCCGTCTGAGCCTGATCCTGCATCCGTGTGGAATTGCGGGGCCTGCACCTACTCCAACAGCAGCCTGTTGCCGTACTGCGAGATGTGTGAGTGCCCGCGCTCTACCTCTGCTGTCAGCTCAGGTAAGAGTAAGGAACAAATAATATCCAATTATCCGATCCCCCCCCTCCTCTCACCAATCCCACCCCCAACCTGCTGTTTGCGTCTGCCTGTGTGGCCCTCTTCTTCTTCTTCTCCATCTTTCTCTTTATTTTGCTGTTGTTTATTTTTGTTTTTAATTAAATTCACAAACCTGATTGCAAATCAAACTGAATTTTATTAAGGAAACGCACGCGCTTCCATCATCTCATGTCTAAAATGAAGCACCTGAAGCTGAAATCCATTCATTGCTTTATTTTCCTTCCTGTCAATATCAATCGTGGCAGTCTGTTGACATAATACTTTTGAACAGCATTACAGATTTCACCAGATGGAGATGCGAGATAGCAAAAGATGGAGGCAGACTTCCCAGAGTCTGAAATAGCACTGCTCAGAGAATATTGTCTGTCTCCCTCTCCTCTCCCTCTCTGCAGATGACAAGGACACAGTATAATTCTCACCTGTCAAGCTGAGAGAGAGAGCGAACAGGCGCCTACTATTGCTGCAAACGTCTCACACAAAGTTGGGAAAAGTTGAGCTGGCTCGAGCTGATATCTCTGACAGCCTATGATTGTATCTTGCAAAGAAGAGGGGAGGGAAGTCGTTATGACCTGGCAGACTGCAGGTCCATGCTCTTTAGATGTCTGAGATGCATCAAATCAGTTTGAGAGATGATTTAAAAAAAAATAAAATCCCCAAACTTGAATGTAGTTCACAGCTGTAATGTTTAGGTAACATGAGTTTAATACTTTTAGTACTCCACTGGCTGAATAAAGCCTTATATGAGCATGAGCTAAAGATAAGTCATTAGTCAAAAAAAACCTAGTTTACGGCAGGTTAAGGTAGCATTTACCGATTGCTTTATAAAGACAGACTGCACTGCCTGATCACACACTTTATTTGATGCACTTAGAGGAGGCGTATTACTCTTCTCCTTATTTGATGCCACATATATCCTGTTAAATAATGAGGTCAGACTCTGTGCAAAGTAATCCCAGTTATACACTTTTTTTCTACTCTTGGATCTATATGATGCCCAAGAGGGTGGACATCCCTAATATGGTCGTTGCAGGCACACAGCCAAGAGCAGCGAGTCAAAAAGAGCAGGTTTAAGGCGAACCAACACAGAGTATCAACAAAGACCAGCACAATGAAAAAAGATTATTTTGATGTATCAATCATGAAAAGCTACTGTAGTCCAAGAATAAAACTGAGAAGTTAAAAATGAGCACAGCAGGTCAATTTTAATCAATTCATGTTTTTAACTATGGTACTTCAGAAAATTATTAAAATGTTTAAAACAGAGCAAAATGCACACTGATGAATGACACAGTTTAATCTCAGTGTCAGAGTAGTTATGTATCCAGACGACTCATAAAAAAGTAATTCCACATGAGCATAACCTCTGGCCTTCCAGACTGCCAGCTCGATGAGGTAGCAGAGTACAATACTGTCAAATAAAGCCTTTCAGGCTTGATGATGAAATCTAAATTATTAGTTGGAGAACAGTAATTATAAAGAGCACATCTACCATGAAAAGCCTTTTTGCTCCAGTGAGGGTGTTTGCTTTTATTCACCTTCACTCTGAAAACATTTGAGAATTTGGGGAAGAAGAAAAGAGGTGGGGGGGACACACTTGTTGGCGCTTTTACCAAAAGACAGGTGATGATTGATGTCAGCCTCGTGTTCGTGAGCTAAATATGGAGCTGGAGTCGGTTGGCTTTGAGAACAGCTAAGCTAGATGTTTCACTAAGTTTAAAAGTACCGTTAACCTTGTAATGCCTAAACCGTAAAATAATTGCAAAAAAATTAACATCTTTGAAACTGCAGTGTTTATTGAGATACTCTTGGCGTTACAGGGTTAACAGGATTTGTTAAATACGATGTGTCGCATTTATTCAATCTATGCCTTTTCCAGGTTTTACATTTTGGAACCATGGCGGACAAAGAAAGTCCCAGGAGGACACCATAGATTGTTTATGATAAGACACAGCCTCTGAAAAAGGCCAGAGCTCACCATACTTTCTAATGGCCAGCAGGGGGCGACTCCTCTGTCTCTTTTTTT